TAAACTTCACTTCACTTTATGTAAACTTCACTTCACCTTACGTAAACTTCACTTCACTTCACTTTACGTAAACTTCACTTCACCTTACGTAAACTTCACTTCACTTTATGTAAACTTCACTTCACTTGATGTAAACTTCACTTCACCTTACGTAAACTTCACTTCACTTCACCTTACGTAAACTTCACTTCACTTCACCTTACGTAAACTTCACTTCACTTAATGTAAACTTCACTTCACTTTATGTAAACTTCACTTCACCTAACGTAAACTGATTTTAAAAACCATGGGCCTGGGGACGTCATGTGCACCCTGTCTTGTTGAGAAAGCAACGAATGAAACAGAAAGAATGAAACAGAAAGAATGAAACAGAAAGAATGAAACAGAACGCGGCCATAAACGAAATCCGATGAGGGATCCTTGACGAGTTTGATACATCACGATTTTTATTCCGTTTATAATAAGACGCTGTTTTATTTTGTTTACGTGCGCGAGGCTACTGCGTTTGTGTTTGAAATAAGAAATCTCACAAAGGTTATTAAAGTGTGATCTGTGTGGCACGGGAGGAAGGCTACCGGGTTTTACGCCTCGGCCAGCTTGGTTTTGTAGATGCTGTTGGAAGGAGGGGTGTGCTGTTGTAATTATCTAAAACTGCATAATACTCAGTCACATGGGAATAACTTGTACATAACGGAAGCAAACTTTCATGGCGTAATGCAGTGCGTTCTGAGCGGCCATTGTGGCATTCGTTGTGTATTGCCAGTCGTGAAAGCATTTGTTGCTACGTAATATTGATAGAAAAAAGTCCAGGTATGATGTGTCTGAGGGAATCTTACAAGTTCGCGGAGAACACTTTCGTTCTGCACTTCCAAGGTTAAGTGTTCTTTCTCCCGAGAGTGATATGGCGATAGCACTTGTGCCGAAACCTCGCGAAGGGACAATATAAACAGGCGAACCCGGAAAAGGACCTGATGTGAATGGTATTTATGAAAAAAAAAAAAAAAAAATCATGTGGGGATCGCACCAGTGTTGAGGTTGATAGGATATCGTCATAGGACATCCGTTTCAGCCTTAAATTCCTTTCTTTGTCAGTTATATCATCCGGAACTATGAAAAATCGATCCCGTAGTAAGGGAGATCGTTGTATCAGTTATTCCTTGCATGCGAGACGCGCGGCCATCACCAGTGTCTGTCACCGCGAGATAAGAATGGTGGAATAGGATACCTGTCTGTAAGCGTGATATATTCATGATGATCTCTGATACAGGTAAGATAAAACCGTCGTTTCGAGTGATGTGCAGTATATATAGAGTGATTAAATAAGAAACCTCTTCAAAAACAGTGCTATGACCTTGTAGAACTATAAACGGGGAAGTAATTTTTTTTGTGTGCCTAGTTCAAGGTTAATGGGTCGTTTTAGAGTGGCAGTTTGCTGGTTTGTTACCTTCAGTTGATACTAGAGAATTGTTTAAAATGTCTGTTCGGTCCGTTGATTGTTCTCAAGAGGACAGTAAACGATGGGAAAACCAAATACACGTTAATTGTCACGGCAAAAGCAACAGGTGTGTGTGCAATAGAGCTGGGAGACCACTGTAGCAATCTCAAGGCGGGAAAGGAGGGTATAGTATGTCTGGTAAATCACTGACATTAAATCACTGTTCTTGATCCGCAGACTCTTAGGCAAGTGCAGAGCTAGTTGAAATCGTTATGTGTCCACCTACAACCGTGATGACGGAATTCTCTATTAGTATTATTGCGTAGCTTACTCCATTCAGAAAGGAGCGGAGGAAAGATCATCCTCAGACATTTTATTCCCAGTGAAGTGTGGTTGTGGATTAGATTGACTCTTGAGTTGCGGCAGCATAGATTGTCTGAGAGGGGCATGTTTCACTAAAAATATAAGCATCACTTTAGTATCACAATCAGGTAGTGGATGCGCGCCTTCTAACTACAAAAGAAAAAAAAAGGAAAAAAGGTAAATAAATAAAGTAAAAAATAAAATCCGGTGTCTAGAGGTTGACTGAATTATAAAGTAGGTGCTTCGCCTGTTGCTTACCGGGCAGTAGGAGAAGCAACAGGGAGGTGGCTGCACGGGTGGAGATTCGTC